CCAGCCATGATGCTTCTCCTGTCATTTGAGATCTTGCATCCCCCCCCCAAACTACTCCAAGGGCTGTTGGACAGCTGAGGGCCCTGGGCAGCGCACCCCTGTTGGATCTGCGCTGCCCACCACCCTGCCGTCACCTGGTCCTGCCTACCGCCCGCGGGCAGAGCGCAGCCCCTTACCCGCCGCTCAGCGTCGGTCGCAGCCAGCAGCAGTGCAATGAGCAGGGCCATCGCCTTCAGCTGCAGCTGGGCGTTTGTCCTGCAGGAGGATGACGATGAGGATAAGGAGAGTCACCAGCTCTGAGGATGGTTTGCCCTTCCCAAGGCAAAGTCCTCTCCTCCCTTCGCTGCTGGACCCCACTGCACGGAGCTAGGGGACCCAGAAAGGCCAGGAGTGAGCAGCTGCTGACAGCGGGGCCCACAGTGGCTGTGGAGCACCCACGCATGGATCAGATACTGCTCTGCACAACACACCTGGGTGCAGCACGTTGGAGCCGCAGGAAAACCCCGGGTGAGCAGCGGACTCCTGTCTGGCAGGAGCCCTGGACACGAGCCTCTCTTTTCTAGAAAGAGAACCTCCGAACTGAAAAGATTGCAGAAGTACGAGGAGAATGTGGGAACGAAGAACTCGCCTTAGCTGAGGGATTTAACAAACTCTGTTCAGCACAGCACCACCACCCCCAAGTTGCAGGGAATGTACTACTGCTCCTATGTACACCGGGGAAAGGGAAGGAAGAGCCAATGCCAGAAAAAAGGCCAGTCAGCTAAAGAACCAAAGTATCTGAACAAAAGATACTCATCCCCACCGGCTTTGGGATGGGGGCGAAGGGTGCTCTGGCCTCTCCACTTACACCTGCAGGTGGGTGAGAAGACGATCCAGCGTCACTTCTTTTTTGACTAGCTCAAAGAGGAGGCGACTGGTGGGAACCATGTTCTCCAGGATAGACAAGGAGAGCTGCTGGACAGATGCATCCACCGTGTTCATGTTGACGTAACTCACTATCTACGAGACACAAAACCATCCGTGAACAGCAGGCTGGGCCTGGATGAAGAAGGCAACGAGGAATCCCAAGGGCACAGGCTGTGGAGCCTGCAGAAGACGCTTACTTTCTTGATGAAGGCTGCACTAAGAGTCTCCCAGGAAACAAAGTCGTGCTCCATTAGCTCCATGAAGGCCTTCAGGGTGTGAGCTAGCATCTCCCCTGTACTGGAGGGACAGAGGAGCGAGCGCAGTGAAGATGGGCCCAGATACCCCACAGTCACCACCACAAGACGGGAAAACAGTTGCACACTGGTAGGTATGTTACAAACAGAGAAGCAGAGAGAAGTAAGCAGAAGAAAGGAAAGAGAGACCATTGGGTAAGAAATTGGACTCTGGCTTAGTCATCCCAGGAAGTCAAGGCCGGGCAAGTTCAACAGTTTCTGGACAGCTGCGTTACCACGGTACAAAGATCACTGGAGACAAGCCCTCAGGAAAGCCAAGCCACCCCAAATCCCTCCCCTGTTGCCAAGAAACAGGCGCTGCACTGCCTGGTTTTAGGCTCCACATCCTCTGTGAGATAGGAGCTCAGAGGAGATGCATCATCACGTCCTGAAAGAGCGAAGTAGGCACTAGTATTTGGCAACCAGGGTTTTATCAAGCTGCCTGCGTATCTCTTGCAGCTAAAACCTCAGGGCAGAGGGATTATTTGGGGTGGCGGGACTGAGCAGCAGCAGAGGCTAGGAGCACCACAAGAGGTTTCCTGGCAGCAAAACCCGTGGGGCTGCAGCTGACCCAGCCAGGGAAGGGATGGGAGGTTCAAGTCTGGGCACATTCACAAGGAGTCAGGACCACAGACCCCGGGGACCTTCCCCCGGCCACCAGCGTGCAGGGACACAGCCACGTGCCTGCAGAGCCACGCGCCCTGCTGCCAGCACTGCCCTTCATCACAGGGATCAACAAGCCAGGAACGCAAATGGAGCCCACTCTAACGCCCAGCTTGGAGCTCGTGCAGCGTTAGCAAGGGAGAAGAAAAGAACTGCAAGGAAAGTCCTCTCCCGATACTCACGCATTCCCTTCTTCCACAATATAGAAGATTTGTTTCAAGCCATTCCTGTTGATGAACTCCTGAGCAAAGGTAACGTCTTGGGAGAGGCCTGCAAGCTTCTTTAGCGAGTCGGTCTTCACATCCGAGTTGTTGCTCTGGATCCCGCTGTACAACCTCTCTGCTTCTTGGTCCTACCGGGAAGGAAAGAATCAAGCCAAAGGGGCTCATCAAAAGGCAGGGAGAAGCTTGGAGGTAGAGGCTGGAAGAGCTTAAGTGCAAGTTTTGGAAGGAGGCTCAGGCTAGAGCAGCCCTGGTGAGGAGCTGGACCGAGAGACAGAGCCACCAGAGCAGAGACCAGGAGGAGCTGAGGAAGGTCAAGCTGTTGTGACACTAAGAGCACGCGATGAGTTGGCCCACACGTCCAAAGCATCTCAAGATGATTTTGTTTGTCTTCAAACTCCCCCAAGCTCTGCCGAGGGAGAATGAAGGTTGAGACACGTCACCTCCCTGTGTTATTTCTGCTGGGTCTGAGGCACCAAGAGGAGCCGTCATGAGCCAGAAGTCGCCAAGCGAGGCAGTGGCAGAAGGCTTGGAGCACCACATCGCCCCGTCGCACGGGGACATCCCACCAGAGCACACGGAGAAGGAGGAGATGGGGGGACAGAGGGATGTACCGGGGAGGTGGTCAGTCGCAAAATGCTCCCGTTCTTAATCTCTCCGCGGTTCTGTAAGGAGAGAGGAACCGGTGAGCCAGCGAGCACTGCGTCGGCGGGGCTGGGAAGAGGTTGGGGGGGTGTCTCACCGACTCGGTGATGTAGGTCTGCCGCCCGTCCACGTACTGCAGGGCATAATGCTCGGCATTGGGCAGGCTCCACCTGCGGCAATGGGCGGGCGGTCACAGTGCCGTACGGCTAGTGCCGATTGCCACCGGGCCAGCAGCGGCCCAGGTTGTGGACTGTCAGGACCCGGTGGCGGGCAACGGGCGCGATACTCACGCATCACAGACGTCCTTGAGCACCGAGGCGAGGGGCTTGGTCTGCAAGCGAGAGGGCGGCCATGAGCTGGGGTCAGGGGT